GGATCCTCAGAGGGTTCAGTTCTCTTACACTGTAAAACCTTTTGACTTAAAATAAAAGAATCTGCACACTAAAAAATGCATTATACATTGAAAAGCACAGAAATTATTCCTTTTTCTAACAATCTCACCACATTTCAGCTCCCTGGGTTCCTCTAGTGTAAGCTCTGTGCAGTGAGCATTCAATTCCAGAATCAAGTCATTCTTTGTTGAAAACAGTTTTAAAATATTAAACATTTGTAAAACATAAAGCATTTCTTTATCAAGAGCTTGCATAGCTCATCTTCAAGCAACTGATTCACCTTACCACTTCTGCAGCTCTTAAGCCTGGCTCTGTCAATGGAAGTGGGACAAGATAGCAACAGGAATTAGGTAAAGTCAGATATTAAGGGTTACACTAGATTCAAGAAGACTTAAGTCTGCAAACAATATAAATTTGGTAAAGTCTTTGTGTGTGTGTGTGTGTGTGTGTGTGTAAAGTTTAACTCACCACTTACAAAAACATTTATTCCTCCAACTCAGAAAAAATATTCTTTGTACAGAAATATTCACTCATAATAAAATGATTTGTACAACCATGTGTTCACATGTTATGCAAAGCTAAATGGAAGATTGTCAGATGCAGTAATCTGTGAATGTTTGCTGCTGACGTATATTTGATTATCCTATATGTATGTTGGGGTGCTTATTACTGTGGAATAACCATGTTATAAAACAGGATGTGTTATGTACTATGAGTCAATATAGATTTTGCTTAGCATGGTTTGGTGCTGTGATCCCCCCCCAGCATGATCATAGTATTTTGATTTTAAAGACCCCATCAACAGTGTACCAAGTCATTTTGCTCATTTAACTGCTGTATACACAGTTGCCCACGCCACAACATTTTGCATTTCCATACCACGTTTGGACCAGCATATTCTGTGTTCATGCTTGTACCTTCGTTTCCTACTGCCTCATTTTCAGGTGAAGTGCCTTGAATAGGCATATACCAAGTGCTACCAATTAGGCAATGCTCTCTACAATTTCTTACTTCTAAGGCCTGATCTATACTGCCTGGCTTTGCCAACAGAACTGAAGTGCTGCCAGCAAAATTCCCAGTCAAAGCTGCACCGTGGCACCAGACTCTTTCTGCTGGCAGAGTTGCATTACGTCTCTGAATGAAAGATGGCTTCTGCCACTGCCCAGCAGCTGGTAGAGAACACATGTACACACACTTACGCCTTCTGCCAGCTGCTGTGCCCCCCCACTTCATGCCCTGTCAGCACAGCTGAAGTGGAGCTACATGGATGCACTGGGAGCTGCATGGGGCTGCCACAAAGCAATGGGTGCTTATGCATTGGCTCTGGTAGCTGCTGTCTCTTGCCAACTAAAGCTTGCAGTGTAGACAAGGCCAAGGAGAACTAGGAGGAAAGGCCGGACATCTAACACAAACATGGCAGCACCAACATAGCGCCAAAAACAAAAAAGAAAAGAAAAGAAAACTCAGCAAAACAAGTGTGCTGAGGACAGGAAGATAACCGTGTGCAAGCCTAGTTCTCAGCAAAGGGCAAATACCATTGGCTGGGCTTAACTTAATCAACTGTAAATACACTTGGTGTTAAGAGACACTCATGTCACAGATCATTTCTAATCCTCTTTTCTCAGCATTTCCCACTTTTGCTACCACCAGCGCAGCTTCCATTCATGGTCGCAACAGCACAAGTTTAGACTGGCCACCAACACGTTTAATCAGCAAGTCCATGAACCTTGCTCAAAACAAGTGGGGAGAACAGGTTCTCAATGTCTGCTTCTGGCCAGGCAGGAAACAAGGTTTAAAAAACACATATCACCCATTGGTAAATCCTGGCCTAGTAGCAATCAGGGAATGAGAGAAAATAGTTGCATTATTTATGCCTCTGAAAAGGTGCGGGTCAGGTTTTTACTTCAGGGATAGGTGAGGGTTTGCATCAATTCTTGTTTAATCCAAGCAATATTGCTTTTTCTGCAGCAAGGGAGATAAGTTATTTTCTTAGCAGTGGTTATGGCTGGCTGCGCCGCAAAGTCCTATTCCCAACATCACCCAGCTGCTTTTTAACTTGTGAACAAGATTGAAAGTGGCTGAAGAGCTATACATAAACATGACGTTACTTCACCCAGGCTTTTCTATCATATTGACAGTTTTCCATAGTATCATTACAGCAATGCTATTTGTGCTGTTACAGATAAGCATCTGTCAGTGTTTCCATTAAAATCCCCTATTTTTACGAGTTTATAACTCAGCCATGAAAAATTTAGTCCACAGGCAGAAACTTGACATACAAGGTCTCCATTTAGGAATGATCTTTATTGTCTTTTTTCTCCTTCTGCATGTAAAGAGGAGAATTTATGCAAGTTGAATTAGAGATATGAGCCTGACTACTAAATCTGGATCCAGCTCTCAAGCCTGGCAAGTTCAGTGTTTTGATTTAGGAAGTCAGATGGTAGTTCAGTTCTAATCGCAAATTTATATTGGGAATGCTTGCAGATATGACTGAGGGTTTCCATTCAAGTTTCTCTCGGCGTTTATATGGCATGCGCAGCCTCCGCATGCAAAGCAGATCAGGGAAGGAGCAGAAAGCAGAGCAAAAGATCGGCCAGAGGAATGGGATCAGAGTGGCACTCGGAGGGTTCAGGGCTAATTTGTGGCATGCCTGCCAGAAAGGTTGTCCCTCACTGATTTATGTTATTAAGAGACCATGAATAGTAACTTCGTGGGGTTTCATAGTTTCATACTTTCATGGTTTTAGGGTCGGAAGGGACCTAATAGATCTTCTAGCCCGACCCCCCGCCAGGGCGGGAGAACCACCCAAAAAAAAAAAACACAAACCCTAAAAACAAAAACGGGACTCAAATGAGTCCAGCCAGGTAAGTATCCAGCCTCTTCTTAAAGATCCCCAGGGTAGGGGCCAGCACCCCCTCCCTTGGAAGTTGGTTCCAGCTCCTAGCCGCCCTAACTGTGAAGCAGTTTTTTCGGATGTCCAATCTGTACCTCCTCTCCATCAACTTGTGCCCATTACTCCTTGTTATGCCAGCGGGGGCTAGGGGAAACAGCGTCTCCCCCAAACCCTTCTGGTTCCCCCTAGTGAGTTTATAGACGGTCACCAGGTCCCCCCTCAGCCTTCTCTTGTGGAGGCTGAATAGGTTCAGGGCCCGCAGTCTCTCACTGTAGGGTCTGCCCTGTTGTCCCCGGATCATGCGGGTGGCCCTCCTCTGGACCCTCTCCATGTTGTCCACATCCCTCCTGAAATGGGGCGCACAGAACTGGACACAATACTCCAGCTGGACACAATAGGGTTAGGCGACGTTTTTTAGTTTTATTACTGTAACAGATGGCTTTATTTCTAAAAATAATATTATAGTATAGACTAAGTCTTAATTTTCTGTTTTACAAAGTGAGGCAGCTAAAAATTAAAAATAAAGGAGTATACTGTACAAGCACAACATCAGTTATTGATCAAACTTAAGAAATAGCAGACCTACAAATTAACAGTATTGAAAACAACATTTTAGTCTAGTCTGATTTTAAGCATTGCCCCTAAATGATAAAAATAGCACAAAAAATCTATATTTATGAATCAAGTGACATCTGGACTATTCTGAAGGAGAGTATATAGAACACGGAGTATATAGAAATGAAAAATTAGCCCTTCATTCCAAACCTGCCGAAGTTATACGTTCCAGCAGCTGTCCACTGTATGTATATACATAATGATATAGTCTATATCAGAGTTTCTCAACCCCTGGGTTGCAAGAATATATGAAAGGGTTGTGAACAAATTTTTAAACAGGATCAACAAACTTTAAAAATAGATTCTCCTTTAAAGGAGAAAAATGTGTGAAACTGTGGCTTTTCCCTTGCAGACTGGCAGCCCCACACACCCACCCCCTGCCCCACACACTGGGGGGCTGGGACCTGTGGGCGGGGGCAGCAGGTTGGGAATGAGGAGCACTGGGTTGGGACTGGCCATCGATGTTTACAAATGGGTCCTGGTACAAAAAAGGTTGAGAACCGCTGGTCTATATGATCACATAATGATTCTATGCACAATTCACAGGCTCCCTTCCACGTACAGTTCCAAGAGTGGATGCACAAAAGTGCAGAATAGCCAGAAATCTCAGTGTACTATTTTCACACATTCAACTTTTACAACCTAAAGTTCTCCATTTCATCAACATTTAACAATAAAGTTATTAAAAGCAATGTTTTTGCTTTACACTCAGCTTTTCCTAGTTAACATTTTCAGATGAAATTAGTGATTTTCTGTGCTGAAGACCTAAGCAGGACCTAAGTCTCAGTGGATGAATTGCTTAATAATCCTTGAAAGTCAGATAGTCAGATCCCCTGTAAGGTGGTAAATTGGGCAGCTGAAACTGGAGCATCCAAAATCATGGTTATTCTTTCTTGTGTATCAAGTTGTTATTTAACATCTATCAACTTTAAAATTTACTTTTATATTGTACCTGCAGCTGTAGGTAGCATTTTATTCATGGCAGCAGAATAAGCTTTGCTTTCCAACAGTTACAAGGTATGAACAAGTATAGCACAGCTAAAGGTTAAAGACTGTCATGTGGACATTGTAAAAAGCAGGCTTCAGGGAATAGCTGAAATATGAGAAATGATTTCAAAGGGAAGGGTTAGAAAAAAGATTAGATTGGAGGTTTTTAAGTGGGAAAAAAACCCACAAAATTTTGCTTCTTCCTTTCGCTCTGCTTTTCAGACACTATGCACTTTGGCCGAGAAACAGACCTTTTCCCTCTTAGTCCCAGTCCAATAAAATCCTTAGTCTAAACTAGTAGTAGTAGTCTAAAATTAGTCTGAACTAATTAAAGTAGTCCCCTTGAATGAATTTTTTGTGTAAAGAATAATCAGGTAGGGATGGGACCCTATTTGTATAAAAATGAATGCTATTAATGCTGACTTAGTTATCTTTCCATTTGCATTTTCACTTTCTGTAATCCTGTCTCTCTCTCTCTTGAAACAGATATTTTGTGACATGAAACAAGTAGTTCATGCCACAGATGTTTTGGATTGGGAAGACAAAGATGCTGCAGAGACATTGGTCGACAACGTTGTCCATTCCAGGATCATAAATCCTTTACGTCTATTTGTTAAGCCATCACCAGTGTTGAAACATGGCCAGGTGTCATATTCAGACAGCATAGACAACTTTTGGGATTGGCTGTCCAACATCACTGAGGTTCAGGAGTCTCTTGCACGAACTAAACGCAGACCAATTGTAAAAACTGGGAAATTCAAGAAGATGTTTGGCTGGGGAGACTTCCACTCCAACATCAAAACTGTTAAACTTAATCTCCTCATCACAGGGAAAATTGTTGACCATGGCAATGGAACCTTCAGCGTTTATTTCCGACATAACTCCACGGGTCTGGGAAACGTTTCTGTAAGCCTGGTGCCACCTTCCAAAGTGGTGGAATTTGAATCATCGCCACAGTCAACACTGGAGACCAAGGAATCCAAGTCCTTCAACTGTCGAATTGAGTATGAAAAAACAGATCGTGCTAAGAAAACTGCATTGTGCAATTTTGACCCTTCAAAGATCTGCTACCAGGAGCAGACCCAAAGCCATGTTTCTTGGTTGTGCTCTAAACCATTTAAAGTTATCTGTATTTACATTGCTTTTTACAGTGTAGATTACAAACTGGTGCAAAAGGTCTGCCCTGATTATAATTACCATAGCGAGACTCCATACTTGTCCTCTGGCTGATGTGATCCATGTTCTGAATAACTGTAGAAATTCAGCATTGGTCATAAACATAAGAGTTTCCTTTAATCTATGAGGACAATGCTTTCCTATCAGGTTAAGGTCTTTCAAAACTTGTGGCTGTGTTTGTGCTGTATCGTAAATATTCAAACTGTTTATGTAAAACCCATTTTCATTTGAAAAAGTTGCATTCCAGCTACGTTGTCATTAATAAGGGAAGTGTCAAGCAGATGCAGGATAAGAAGAAACAAAATTATGCATGTCACAAACGCTGATCTTGAAAATTATTGAAGCAGGTTGGAAGGCTGCTTGAGCTAGCAGATACATTGATGTCTTTTAGTTGATTTGTACAGCACTTACACATTAAGTTCTCAACACAGAGTGGGAACTGGAGACACAAACAACAGTGACAAATAAGACTGCTACAAGATGTCCATATGAAAACCCCAGTAACTATTAACTCTCCCATTGATTTTGATAGTTATATACACAGGGCTTGAAGAATCTAGTCCTAACCTTTGAAGAAAATGGTATTTCTATGAAAGAAATTACAGGAAGTTGGTTCTTCCTGTGCATTTCAAAAAGTAGGTGTAGACATTGACATAAAAGAGTTCTTTCTTCAGCTTTCTTACCTCTGGATATGCAATGATGTAATCAGACATTGCTAACCCTGTGAGACCCTATCAGTACAGGCTTGGTGTACATTTCTCCCTGCTGTGGTTGCCATTGCTTTGCTTTATTCTCAGGTGTTTACATATATACCAGTACTAGTTTTATAGTAAAACACGTGTACCTTGATCTGCGTTCAGTGAGTCCCAGAGCAACAACAATGAGTAGATGTTTCATTTAGAAGTAAGCATTTATCTTTACGTCTTGCTGTAGAGCCCCATCCTAATATTACATTCCTAGCTAACAGAAAAATATCATAAATTAAGGCCAATATCCCAAAAGGACACGCTTTCTTTTTCACGAGTCCCAGTTAAAATGACTGTCTTTAAATTAATTAAAAAAAAAAAAAATCACTGAAAAATAGAAGGTCAACAAAGATCTGAATATTGAGACCCTATGCAGATATCCAAATGTTATGGCCAGATTCCAGCTGGCCTCAAATAACATGGCTCTACTGAAGCCAACAGCAGAATTTACTCCTGTGGTGCAGAAGTAAGCATAAACATCACATGAGCTTTCTTAAGTAAAAAGGCATGTAAAAAAAATGAAAGCCAACACTTTATCATTTCTGATGTCACAGATCCTTGCTGAGATTTGGAAAGGAAGTAGTTGGGAAAGGGGGGGGATGTCTTGTTACATGTAAGTGAACATTGATGAGTGCTGGCAGAAAAGTACATTAACATGAAAATTAAGTTTTGCTAACATGTACTTGTAAAAGTATGGCAGTGCTTCTAAACAGACAAGGAGATATGTCAAGGCAAAAAGGACCTCACCTGCAGACATTTTTTTGTTCGTTTGCTTGTAAAGCGTCATACTGAAAAATGTTTTAAAATTCTTTGTTAAAGAAAACGTTGAATTTGTTTTTGTCCTAAGGTTACAAATTTAGAAATGTGGTTTGGTTTTATTGAGAATCTAAAGGTTTCCACTCACTTCGTGCATATAGTCTCCCATTCTCAATAACAGAGTTTTCCATTTTTTTAGTCTATGACTGCTAATGCCTTCATAATGTTTTATGTTCTGTAGGGCGTGCTCTAGATCAAGGGTGGCCAACCCACAACAGACATGCCACAAGTGGTATGCACAGCCCATTTTTGTGGCATGTGAATGATCAGAAAGTGGGCAGGAAGAAGAGCAGCAGCAGGCAGGGAACAGAGCTACAAGTTGGGGAAGGAGTGAGAAGTGGATCAGATCAGGGAGGAGGTGAGAGGCAAAGCATGATCAGCCTGGGAGGAAAACCACACTTAGGAAGGGAGGGAGAAGCAACTGGGGAAAGGAGCAAAAGGCAAACTAACAAGAGGGGGCTGGGAGCAGAGCAGCAAGCAAAGGTTGGGGGGTGGTAAGAAAGAAGATCAGGCTGGAAGCAAAGCAGGAAGTGGAGAGGTAGCAAGAAACAGGTAAGATCTGGCAAAGTGGAATGGGGCTGGGAGCAAGGCAGCAGGTAGCAGAGGGAGTAAGATGGCTTATGCAAGAAGATCCGGTGAGGGAGAGCCTTTCTTCGTTTACTCCCACAAAGCAAATAAACCCCATGTTTTGTGCACAATTCTTGTAGTTTATTTAGTTTTAATTTTCTACAATGCTTAGTAATGTTGTAAAAGAAGATAAAACAATTATCACTCATCTCAATGCTTTTAAAACAACACCGGAGTAGATTTTCATCTCATTTTTTTGTCACGATACCTCATATCATGAAATGTTCCTTTTTTACGAGCCTCCACAACTGTGGGCCCATGGACTATCCATCGGCTCTGCATTCAAATTCTACTCCCTGAAGCTGATGAAACATCCTTAAGTCCCGCTGATTTAAGAGAAGAAAAAACACGTGCAGTTCAGATCTTTGCTGAATTTGGCACAAATTGATAAACAGCCACAGTGGTGTCTGCGGAGTTCTGTATCTGTCCTCATAGCAGGCTCATATTATTCCTTGCACCTTATTTTGATGCACAGGGTGAGGACATTTCAAAGATCATTTCCCATTTCCTGCTTGTTTTCACTTATGCACACAAACTGCTCTTTGAAATTCAGAGACTGATCTCTGGCAGACAGGTTCTTTGGGTAAATCCGATATCTTTTATTAGACCAACTCAAATAGTTGAAAAAAGTCTTCTTAGCAAGCTTTCAGGTACAAACACCCTTCGGCCGGCAAAGAGGTAGTGAAAAGAGGGCAATGGCTAGCTGTGGCTCCTCCTTAGCCATTACATGCTTAACTTTTTGTTCAAAGAGTTAATTACAGTGTGAGTAGTCACCCTATGGGAGAGGAGGTTGCAGGTATTTTTTTTTCTACCCAAGGCATTATACTTGCAGTGTCTCTGCTGGGGGATTGCTGCTTTGTTCTACCCCTCGTTAGGCCCCAGGAGAGAACTCTGACCCTCCAAGTTTAATTGCCATGTTGTGTTTGACACCCCAGTGCTAAGAAGTGGAGATCCCTTGACTTGCTAATGCAAGTCTGGGGTCTTTTCTGCCTGGAGTGTACGTAACATGGAAGCAAGTGCTGCCAGGAGTCTACAGCCATGCAGATGCGTGACTAAGGCCCCATCTGCACATTACACTTAAGGCATGATTAACCAGTTAATCACATCTTAAATTGTGACCCAGACACATTCAATCAATTAATAGCATGATAACACAAGGACTAAGCCACAAAGTTATTCTACAAAAAAAAATAATGTAATAAAATGTTGTGGCTTGTTCTTATCACACCAATAATTGAATGGGTGGCTGGGAGCCCCATCAGCTGACAAGGCTCCCATCTGCAGGGGTGCATCACCCACTGCCCTGGCTATGAGCCTCATCAGCTGCACGGGAGCTTGCTACTTGCTGGTGCAGGGGGAGCCAGGGACTGTAATTATGGGCTCCCCCTGCACTGGCAATAAGGCACGATTGGCATGGCAAGCGTCTCTCGTGGTAAGAGGTGCGATTGTACGGGTTGCGCATCAGCTCCTATCGCGCCTTTGCCTGAACTCCTAGAAGGGCTCCAAGGTCGAGTGTTTTTTTTTTTACTACGGCTGCCCAGTGGCATCTGAAAACAAAACAACAGCAGTACATATTGTGATCCCTGGCCCTGCCAGAGGTGTGGAGAGCGAGGGGTCATTCAAATGTGAAGAGAAAGACTGTTCTAGGCTTTTGCTTGCCTTTCCTTCATTCTTTCAAAAGCAAATAGGAGCTTGCAGCTGTTCAGTCAGGATTAGCGAGGCTCCCTGCCAGTTTCCCCATGAATCCCTCAGAGACTGGCTCCCAATTGCAAGGAGCCAACAATCACACCCTGTACCACTGTGGTTCCCCAGCACCTGCTGCCACTTACTCTGCACACATGGGAGGGCAGGAGGTTTCTTTCTCCACTTTCCCTGCTGTTCCTGACTTGTCATACAACTACTGCTTCCTAACACTAATCATACACTTTGCCAAGGTCTTTTCATAGGAATCTGACCCTCCTCTTCACCTGCTCAGAGGGAGATGAGCAGCGGGGAGGCAGTTGTTAGGAATGATGGTTTCTTGCTCACTATGTTCATCAGGCCTCAAGAGAGGAGCTTATTTGTTTGACTTCCATGTTTGTAGTTAGCTTTCCTGCTTTTTGAAACCATGCAATCCCAGGAAATTTAGGAATCTTGAATTCCACAAGTCTTGTCACTTATTCCAGACCTTGCATACCTGGTATTGATGATGTATACTCTAAAGACATAATTATCTGTAGTATTCACTTGCAGATATGCAGTGATGCAAAGATCAAGTTATTATGAAAAAGTTTGTCATTCAGCAGCAGCTATTTTGTTTTCAGAGCGCAGTGGTCTCACTGGGCATTTAATATCTTCCCTTTAGACTCATCATGTTCCTGCAGTAACACTTTTTATTGGTCACTAGTTGTTTATCAATTGTATTAACAGAAACAAAATGAAACAGGGGGGATCAACCCATGGCATGGGCAGCCTCTGTGTGGCGCACAGCACCAAGGAAGGGGATCAGAGTGGCACTCTGGTAGGGTGCAGAGCTAACCTTGTGGCATGCCCTGCTGAAAAAAGACTGGTTACCACTGATCTAGATTTAGGTGTATATTAGCTAGAAGTTATTGCTATATTCTCTGAGTTCAACGTTTGGTGCTTTTGTAACTTAGTCGTAAGCCATGACTTTATTGCCATGTATTTTTACCCAGCACTATAGAAAACTTAATAACAAACAAAACTACAAGGTATTTATTGTAGAGTATGTGAAAACCATAAATGTATATACACAAATATATGTGTACATGTAGAGAATATATGTGTACACTTATTTCTATGTAAATAAAGAGAGTTTGCTAAATCTGTCACTTGTTTGTGGCATCCTTTAATTAAAAAAAAAAAAAAATTGTTTCTTCTTAAATATTTTCCAGCTTGATTATTCACATGCCTACAAGTTTCATTTTGTGCAGAACATGTCCTTATTCCAGACTTATATCTTGTGCAGCAGAATCAAGGAGGCTATAGACCCATGAAAACAGAGCACCATTAAGGTTCTGTAACATTTACTTTGTTAGGGATAAAATGATACCAAACAGGTTTTTTATACAAGGTAACAGTTCTTACCATGACCCACTTAAAAAGGTGTGCTTGTTACAAAGATTATTTTTAAAAATACATTTTGAGACGATTTCAAAATATGAGACAAACCCTGAAGTCCTAAATCAGATCTTAGTTCCATAATGAGGACCTCCCAGGTCAACCTCTCGGGTAAAACTTGTAGAAGGAACAGAGGCCTCACTGTTTATTCAGTTCTTGCTTAGACACAGTCCCAGTGAGACACTAATATGTGGATCACCCTCTCAGACAAATCACATCATGGTGGCCTGGGACAAAAGCACAGTTGCTTCAAAAGTACTGAAACCTCTGTGTAGTCCTACCCAAGATATGTGAGAACCTGCATAAAGTGTCCCTCCATGCAGAAAATATTGACCAGACCATCTTACCCAATTGAGACCTCAGGATCTGGCTCCCTATTAGAAAAATCTCTCACAAATACTGCACAAGATTGTGACATCCTTGAACATCTAGACAGTATTTTGTGCATTACAGCACATTGGGATCTTTAGCAGCTTAAATCTACTGCTGGGATCTATTGGGTTAGAGTGCTAATGTTTTATACTTTTTCAAATTAAGATGATGGCTTTAGCCATTGAAAATGGCTGTTGCAAGACACACACAAAGTGCATGTTTGTTAAGAAGAGTCCAAGAAAAAAAGGGAAAACTGAATAAGAACTCCTGAGAAACGCGACACAAAATAGGAGTCATACTGGTGATTGCCTGGTGGAGGCTGTGTCTCATTAAGAGAATCAATGGGTGCATTAAATTTGTGTTTGTTTACCATTATTAAAAACATTCAAATAAAAATAATAATCAATAGTAATAGATTATTCTTCCTCCCTTTCCCCCGCAATTTCTGGAGCCAAAGTCTCTTGCCTACCGTGAGAAGTCTATTTCGTCACATTTGGGACATCCATGCCAAGCAAACAGAATTTCATTTTTACCTTTACTGTACCTGTCATTCATACAGCTTTTCTGGTATACATTAAATAATATAAAATCCATGTGTGTGAAACTCAGGGGTTACCTGTGCAGGGGAAATTGACTGGAATGTCTATTGCTGAGTACTTTCTGAAGTAGACACTCATGTTCCAGGATCAGAGCCTTTACACATTTACACAGAAAGTTTTAGGCCATAGCTACGGTAGAATAACTATTCTGATCATTTTGGAAGCAGAGAGGCTGAAAGGATTGCTTAGGAGAGTTATTTGCAGATATTCAAAGACATTGGTAGTTCAGCCGCTTGGGGGACGAAGCATTTTCATCTCTATAGATTGTGGTTACTAAGCTATGGCTGCAAAGGGAACGCTCAGTAAAACTGAGGTGAATCAACCAAATTTTGAAATTATTGCATCCAGGTTAGGTTTGATTAACACCATCAATTTTTAACCCCAGGCACCACATTTGTTAAAGATGGTTTCACATCCTTCCTAGATAAAATAGAATGACAGGGGATAAAAGAGGGTGATCTAAGGCCACTTTATTCCTGAATAGGTCTCTGCAAATGATTTTTAGAGCTGTGTGAAGTTTCACCTGGTGTTTCGTTTTGAAGCTGTTTTGATGCATTTCGAGCTAGAAACAGCGAAATTGAAATGAAACAAAACAAGGGCACTCGAAACATTTCAAAAGTTGCAAAGCCAGGCTTACTTGGCTTCAGTGCTGGTTCTAGCCAGTAGCATCAGCCTCCTGTGATCCAGCAGGCAGATCAGGGCCCACCGGCACCCCCGGGAGGGCTACAGGGCTGTGCTGGACTGCTCCCAGGGGTGCGGGCCCCCAACCTGCCTGCCTGATCACAAGAGGATGGTGCTGCTGGCTGGGACCACCGCTGGGCGCAGCCCTCAGCCAGCACCGGGAAGATCAGTGCTGCCACTGGCCCCAGCTGGCAGCTGCAGCCTCCTGTCATCCGGCAGGCAGATTGGGTGCCTGCACCCCCAGGAGGAGTCCGACACAGCCCCTGCATAGCAGAGCCCCCGCATAGCCCTACTGATTTTCCAGTTTTGATGGCTGAAGCAAAGAAACAAACATTAAAAGAATTCTCTCTCATGTTGGACTCAAACCCCAAATTTTTAATAACTTACAACAAATCACATTCATTTTGGGCCAAAGAGACTGATTTTGGTCATGAAGTGAAATTTCCTGCTTATACTTAATTGTGAGGTATGGATTAGCTTTAAAATAATGTCATACTGTAACTGAATGTAATACAGGCTATTATATGAGTTTAAAAGCAGATGTTTAAAAATGGGAAGCTATTAATACTAATTGTATCTATTGTAAATCTGATTTAAATCCATATTGAGAAACTTGAAGAAATTCATGTTTTGTTCAGACCAGCAGAGACTCCCTATGCCTGCAGAAGGGTGACTGAAGCCTAAAACTTTTTTTCTAACTACTCAGTTGGTCTAATAACAGATCACTCAAAGAACCTTGCATGCTTTGTTCATACTTTCATTAAAATAAAATATCACGGATGTTTGGTAAAATCAAAATAAATATGCAGTAGTTTTCAGATAGTAGAAGCAACTCTCTCTTTACATATAACTTTGAAAAATCCTAATAAATGCCCATTTTCATTTTAATAACAAAAAACAATCGAATATTCTATTCAAACAAATATGCGAGCCATTCCATGTGGTTTCCTTTTCTTCTGTAGGAATTTCATCATTCAGATCCAGATTTTTTTCTGTATAGTTACATTCTGTATTTTCTTGCATACAACCATTTCCAGAATATAATATGCACCTTGTTTTTGAAAGGCAGAATGAAGAAGAAAAATATTTTTTCCAGTTTTGGCTCCCAAGAGCAGGGACAGAACCTAATCTTCAGCTGACTCACCCTCCTATTCCTGCTTAGGCTAACAGGAGCAGCTAGCAAACAGCAAAAGTGTCCTAAAAAAAGAAATTGTGAATTAGTGGAACACCAAGACCATTAAAAAGGAGAGAGGATTGTTAAGAGAAGAACCTGTGGAGTGCCATTCAGTCTATTCAGCCATTTGAAGGCATCAATAAGTAATGTCACTGCACTGCAGAGCAGGAATTAAAGCAGAGCACCAAAATCAGCTCCCCCACTTTATACACATACCCCAATTTTCTGGGGGCTACTTTTGAGGGAAAAGTGCTTGATGTATGCAGACGAGGTTCTTTGGGTAAATGTGATATCTTTTATTAGACCAACTAAATAGTTGGAAAAATTGTCCTTTGCAAGCTTGCAGGTACAAAACACCTTTCTTCAGGCACAGGGAGAGTTGTATGTAAGAATATATGGTATTTGGTGGCCGACTCCTGCAAGGTGTCATAAGCAGGAGGGTAGCATAACATCTATGATGAAAAAAACATAACTTTGTGTTTAAGGGATTAGACCAAGGCTCAGGATGTCAGCAGTCCCTCCCTACCTCTGACAGACTTCCAGTGTATCACTGTATACGAGGACAGTTCAGTTAAGGCCAGATCACCAAAAGGTATTTAGGCAATTCAATTCCTATTGATCAATGAGAGTTTGGGTGCCAAAATCTCTCTTGGGGGTCTGGCCTTTGCTGTCCCTGTATCTTATCTACCAGATTGGGATGCTACATTCCTACATCACAGAAGTCTTGTAAGGAAAGATTCATTCATTAAGCCAAAGATGCTCAGATACGAAAATTAGTAAGTGTCACCTACAAGCCTACAAGTGAGCAGCTTGTGGTTCCTTGAGCTGTACGTTCTTCCTTAGACCTGAATAAACTTACTTGGAAGTGGACCCCAACATATAATCCCTGCTCCAGCTGCAAGAAATTTCATATTAATGGACTAGGCATATTGAACATGGATCTTTGTGCCCATAGCTCAGCCTAACTCCATTTGTTTTTAAATTCTGTGAGATCAAGGATGTTAGAATTTCCTAGATTTTATTAGTTGTAATGTAAACTTGCAGAGTCTGGTTCACAATATTTTCTTGATACCATAAATGCAGTTTCCCATTCTTACTAATCCATCTTCTGTTTGCAAAACTAGAAAGACCTGCAAGGATAAGTCACACATCTCAAATAGCTCAAGGAAAGGCACCCAATCAAGCAGTTTTAGCTGCAGGATTCCTCATTCCTGAAATCAAGGCTGTGTCATATCTGTCTCTCTCTCCATGGGTAATCATTACCTCCTAGGTACATTTAGTATAAGCAGTTTCCATTCTGTTGTTCTCACACATCATGTTGTGAACCTATTTAATAAAATGACACTTCTAATATACTGGCAACTTGCTTTGAATTACTTCAAGAATATCGCCTACCCTGTATTTGTCACTGATAAAATCTAGGAATTAGTGTAATCCATTCTTGGGTTTATGGAAACAGTCATTCAAGAAATGCCACAAATTCATATAATGTCCCTGAGCGCTGGATTTAGGTCTCTGGAGTTTGTTAAAAGATGTTAAATCGCATGTCAAACAGCTCCCTTCTGACTATGCATTTCAGGCAGCTCAAGTGCATTTGTTATTCTGCACATGCATGGAATACACCGAATCCAAAACCTGTGTGCTTCTGGTATGCTAGCTTTAGATGGGATTTTGCATTGCGAGTGATTGAAACAGTCAATTTAACAGTCATTTTAACAGTTTTCCAACACAACCCCAGTAGATCCATTTTAAATACCTGTACATTGTAGAGGATTTAGCAGATGCAGTATGTCCTGGTGGAGTTTGGTAGCAGTGCAGCACTGCAACAGCTTAGTGCAGAGCCTGCTGCTGGATTTTCAATTGCGTAAGATTTCTG